GGCCCAGGCCAGAAAGCGGAGGGCTGCCCTGGGTCACCCCGGTGGCCAGAGAGGGACGCCCGGGGAGGGGGGGGGGACAGCGAGGGGGAAAGCGACCCTAAAACCCGCTCGGCCCTCGGGTCGTCCCCTGCCTTCCTGCCGGCCCGCCTGTCCCGAAGCCCGCGCCTGCAGCCCCTAGACACTGACCCCTGTTTACAAACACAGCCCGGGGGCGGAGCGGGGCCCGGGAGCGCCGGCTGGCGGGGTGGGAGAGGCCGCGGGCTCCCGAGGACGCCACCAGCAGTGAGGAGCGGGGAGTTGGTGCGAGAGAGCCGGCCTGGCAGCTGGAAAGGACTGAACGCCTTGTTTTTGAAACTGTCAATTCCCTCAACCCCTATTGTGAGGGCTTCATGCAAAACATCTCAGGCCTTTTAAAGTAGGAGCTTGTGAGGCCGCCACAGTTTGAAAAGGAGCGAGAGAGGAGCGGGGGCCTAGGGCTTGGGCAAAGAATGATAGCTGCCCCCCCCCCTTTTTCTTTCTTTCTTTCTTTTTTTTCTTTCTTTTTTTTTAATTGCAAAAGAGGCCTGCCAAACAGGTAAAATGCAGCCCTCCCCCACCTCCTAGGTCGGCCCTAAGTCCCCACCCCCAGGCTAGTTTGCAAAATGCCCTTTGGCCTAGGGAGCAAACCAAAACCAAAGCTAGCATTAAAAATAGTTCTTCCAGGAATGGGGGGAAATCCAAGGGAAGACCGGAGCGTCTGGGTGGACTCCCTAAGGTGAATGCCCTGTTCCTCCATGCCAATTTCCTGAGGTTAGTTGATGGGGAGCCTTTAATTTTTACCCCTAGTTTGGCTCTAGAAACTCCTTTTCATATCCTTTTCAGCAGAAAGTTATTTGTAAGGTGAAGCAAAACTCACCACATTTTTTGGTCTTTCGTAGATGCTAATGCTTTATTTTTTAATGTTGTTTTTTTTTTCTTAACATGAGGATTTTCATTTTCTTTGAAAAAAAATGCTTTTGAGGAATTAGTCTACATCTCTTCCTGCATGCAAACAAAACTATCATTCTCATATCAGCAGAAACTTCCAATTCTTGGGACTGAACTTTGAGGAATTTCTAGACCATTAAAAGTCACCCAGACACAGATAAGATAAAAACCCACACACCAGCCCATCTAGTTTGTGTTATTGCTGTTTAGTTGTGGCTCCTTGTTGTTGATTTTAAAATAAACAACCATTATTGAGATTACTCCACTGTAATCAAGTAAGCCAGTAGGAAAAAACACCCGCTTTAAAAAGTAAATCGTTGAGTAAGAGCAAGCTGCCTTTTTGAAAAAGGCAGATAACCTGGCTGTGGAAGACAGAGTACACGCATCTCTTTAAAAAATAATTAAATCTTCATTTCATGGTCTTATCAGGAAACTACTTTTCTAGGAGACCCCAAATAAACTTGTTTCCTCAAAGTCAGAGAAAGAGCCCTTTCCTGCATTTTCCTCATGTCTGTGAGTGTTGGGCTTTAGACACAGGAATCAGGGACCCTGGGACCATATAGTGCCTTTTAAAAAAATATTCTATCACCTGAAAACATTTAAATGTAAAAATGCAATCTGTCAATGGAGGTAACTTTTGTTTTTCTCTCAATAAGGCTTAACTTTTTGAACAAATGGGACATTTATAGTATCTTAGGAAATCTAGATATTGTCATTAATCATAAGACAACCAAAATGAAATAAACTGTTCTAAGAATAATTCCCACAGCAGAATGGGCAGACAGCTAAGGGGCCACCAGAAATTGAAAGAATACCTTATATTTGCAAGTTACGGAATACCATTTGGTACACTTTCCCAACAGAAGCCCCAACTCAAGTTTTGCTGTGGTTGGCTGGCTTGTAAGGAGTACTGTGGGGTGAAATTTGTGTTGACTATTTAATTTCTTTCCTTTTGATGGTATCACTCTGGAATGCCTCCATGCTGCTCATTCTCCAGCTCCTATAAACTGAAACTATTGATTCTCTGAGGGCTGGAGACCAAGTGTCAAAGCTGGAGGGTGATATTTTATGTCAGAAATTCTATAGGGTATATTTGTTTTAAAGTATGCTTACTCCATCTCGTGGTCCACCCACACCCAAGATCTGTAGGGTTCAAATATACTCTCAATTTATAATTTCTTAACAGTGATTCCATAACCAACAAGAAAAGTACTAAATATAGTAGTCATCATACTTTCAACTCTCTTGACTTATCAGTAATTAAAGACTAGAAATGACAGACTTCCAGTGTGTGCATGTCACACTTTTTACAGATTGTTTTTGCAGGACAACTCACTGCACCCAAATTCTGTATTGCCTTCCAAGGAGGAAAGAACTCAAACTGAGAAGCCAATTGTTCAGCTTTCTGATGCTTTAACTGTAACTTGTACTGGTCTTTGGAATTACACACAAACATGAATTCAAGGATAACATCCCCCAATTTTTTGCTTTGACCATATCTATCATGCCAATAAAAAAGGATCCAGTGCACTTACATCTGGCAACATTCAAGAAGGAAAGGAAGGGAGGCAGTTCAAAGCATCTGTTTACTCCATCCAAATGTATTTGGATGCAGGTATGCTCAGCCTCTGTCTTTTACAATAAGAGTCAAACCACAGAGCATATACAGCAATTAGAGCTGAGACCATCCAGATCTATCTGAAACATTTATAGACAAAAGAAAATTTTCAAAGGGAGTAGGAATTAAAAGGTTAAGGGGGAAAAAAAGACTGAATTTCCATGAGAAATAGTGACTTAAATTCACACAGTAAACATTTCATTGATGTTTTGTTTTGTTTTGTGATTTATGATCTATAGATGCAGCTCCTTAAGTTTCAGATGGCAAAGATCTGAGATACATAATTTGTCAGGCTGAGGGAGGTGGGCCAAAATTTATTAGATTTAACTTTCATTAAAATGGCAATTGATCTCTGCTTCACTTTCTTAAACCTGAAACTTTTTGCACTTGCTTTGTAACAAGTTTGTAAAGTTTTGTTGTCATTTAGGAAGAAATCTACCAGTGTTTTGCACAGAACCTCACTGGCGTCATCACATGGTAATACAACAAAACACTACACCCAACAAATGCATTTCTTTCAGGCAAAAACATTACAAGTGAAAATGTCAACAAAACCATTCATTTCTGTTAACCGTTCTTCAATCTAGAATAAGTAGAAATGTATGGAACCAGGAATTTTAAACAGCATTTTTAATTGAAAATAAAGCTAAAGCATGCTTTTCAACAGTGCAAATTTCCATAATTTTGATTTACTGCTTCCATCATCACAACATAGTACACCAGCATGGCCCTTACCAAGGGCTAGACCCTAGCCATTTGCATGTTGAACTACTTTGATTTTAAGTGCAAACATAGATAGTCACCTCTGATTGTCACTTGCAGTAGAAACTCTCCTGCTCTATACACAGGATGGTCTGAAAACAGAAGTTTAGAGAGATGCAGGAAAAGTAAAATGTAATACAATCCAAGTGCCTGAGTTCTAGTACCAAAAAGCCCTGAAATAAGTGTTATTTTTCATTTTGGGTATTCTTACAACTCTGATTCATTTTACTTTTCTTGGGTGTATTTAATGCTTTGTCACTATGAGGAGTCAGACCAGAAAATATCCTGCTCTTAAGAGAAATATTTTAATTGTTTTGCAAGTTTGAATTTTAATTGTTTTACAAGTTTGAGGAGTCATGTTCAGACTACAAGGTAAGCAGGACAATAGTACTAGTCACCTTATTTAAAACCTTTGGGTAAGAACACAAAAAGGACTCTTCTAATTGCAAGGAGTGGCTGTAAAAGTAAAATCACACCCTTTACAAAAAAAAACACAATCTCATATTTATTTTACTCAGTATATATGAGGCAGCTTTTACCAGCATTCAATCAGGACTCCCCAATCTTTCCACTCAAAAAAGGAAAAATTAAGTGCAACTACTTTTGGAGAGGGAATGAGGAGAGAAAAAGATACCCCACAAAGGAGCTCCAGAAGAAAACATTTTGGGCTCACAGAAACTTCTTGCTACCTCACTGTGTAACCATGTAACCTAACAAACTTTCACTGAATGAAGTTACACTTTCAGGTCTGAAATCTAGTGCATAAACTTAATGGCTCATTGTAATATTTATTATTCAACCTTTTGACATTTATTTGTAGCAGTTGAATTGAGGTACCGGGTGCATTATTAGCATTAAAACAGTAAAGTGTTCCAGCTCTACCGTAATAACTGAGTTTTACTTGAGTCTTTAGCCTGAAGTAGTCTGTGGAATGTAAACCAAGCATTCTCCCACCCCACCCCCACCCTACTAAAAAAAAAAAAA